GAAATTAACGCAGGTGTCGTTTTGGACAATGACTAGGCCTACAGTGTAGCCGCAGGAATTAGTGGCTGAGGCAGGGTGGAGAACAAAAATTACTGGAGAAGAGGAGTAAAAGACCTGAGACTCTAGAAAAGACTATCTATGGGGCTATTGAATTCACTATAGTGATAATAATTTAGGAGTCTAAAGAGCAAGATTCAAAGCTGAATGATATTTTATTCATTCAGTCATCATTTAGATATTTAGTCATCATTTGAAAAGGCTGCCAGAGATACAAGGTTCTCAGAAAAGCCAGATTTCAATTAGAGCAACGTGAGCGAAGAAAAGGCTAAGGACACGGGAGATTTGACTTGACTTACCATGAAATGGCGCGCTACAGACGGCCAGGTGTGAGAGGCAGAGTTAGGAAAAGCAATGATTTGTATGAGCAAGAGTCCAGGGTGATAAGGGATGATTGGAGAGACCCAGGCTTCTTGTGTTAACTGACATCAACAGGAATAAAAACATGATGATATTAGGGCTGATAGTCCCAAAGCAGGTAACAGTTGCAAAATTCTGACTTTTGAGGTCTTGCCATGATTGAGTTCTGGGAATCCCAGCTGACAACTGCAGATGGAGGCAGAGAAGAGAGAGGAGTGGTCTTATGCTGAGAGCGGAGGCCCTCAGAACACGTCCACCAGGAAGTCTTCCCTGACTGTTCTAGCCCAAAGCAAAGGTTCCGTCCTCTCAATGTCTATAGTATTGATCGATATCATTCAACAACCACTCAACAAGTTTTCATTATTTCCATCTATTAAATGTTCAGACACTTTTGCAGTATTTTCTGACTTACACTGTAGGCTATTCCCAAGTGCAGGCCATCACATAACTGCTCCAGAGCACCTACTCAAAGCTCTGAATCTAGAAGCTGTGAAGAAGCCAAAGGAGAATGAATGATGCATTAAATTATCAGGGGGCAGGGGGCGCTGGGTGAAGTTCGGCAAAGGGGATCAGGAATGGGGACATCTGTAATAGTGTCAACAATAAAGTTATAAAAACAAATTAAAATCGCTCAGTTTCTCAAAAAAATAAATAAAATATATCTAAAGAGACATCTGCCTTCATTAACTAAAAAAGAAACAAAAACAAAACCCATCCAAACTTTCAACATTGGAACTGAAGGAATAATTTCTTCAAAAGGAAGCATTAAGGCACAGCCCTCACCTGAAATTTCTCTTTAACTACTCTGCCTCCAAGCCTGGCGGGATGGGGAGAAGGGTGTGCCCCTGTAGCCACGATCCAGTGGTGGCAGAGGACTTTTCCTGATTCTTCCTAGCAGAGCTGACACAAAACCAGGACATTAAAACATGTTGGAGTAAAAGACGAAAAGATGCAAAGAAGGATAAAATGGTAAAAATGCAAAAAAATCTTTGAATGTAAGGGACAGATTATAAATGACCACTTACTTAATTTTAATTTATAATCCAATAAACTAGCTCCTTTCTCATTCTTGGTCACCCCCCCCCCCCAAATCTTTGAGCACCACGCCAGAAGAGTAGCCTCCTAGGAAACCCAAAATCTTTGTCCAGTGGGAGCCACCAACTCTCCATGGCCAGTTTCCTGGGTTTCTGTTCCTGACTAAGGCCCTGCCTCCTCCCAGGTTGACGGACACTAGAGAGTCAACTCTTCAAAGCTACCACCATTCTTCCAAACCTCAAAAATACATAAACTGATCCAAATAAACTTTAGCACTCATCACATGGAGGTGGGGGATTTGGGAAGTCATTCCTTCAATTACTTCTCCTTTGTACCAGTTAAAACCTTTTTATATCAATGATATCCAATTTAGCTTTTGCAATATCAGTGGGCTTCTAATTATGAAGACAAAAACTGAATTCCAAACAATTTTAAAAACTACAAACAATATTTTGGGCAAAAGAAATATTCACAGAAAAACAACAAGCATGAAGTATGAAAGTATTTCTTATCTGTACTCATACATTTAACATTATGTTCTGAACTAGTGATTATAGACTTACTCATGTACATATGAAACAGCTAAGAATAGTAAATTGGTTTCAAATATTATCACACTGAGAAAAACTTCTAATTATGGAAAATTACTTTATAAATGAAAATATATGCTGCGGGAATTTACAGGAACTCAGTTATTACAATTAAAGCTGAAAATTGTAGTGCTCGTCCTAAGGAATGGCTCTAGCATTTCTCCAAGTAATAAACTCACTGAGTCCACTTGTAAATTATTTGAATAAACTCACTGAATCCACTTGTGAATTATTTCCCGTTAGCTGTCTTATTATTCAATACGCTTTCAAGGAACATGATGATGAAAGAAGAAAAACACTTCTTTCTAACATAACCATACTGGCAAGAACATTGACATTATCAGTATTCAAAGAATGTCTTGGCAGGTTAAACCTTCATAAAAAGAAGAAACACTATCTAATCCAAGATGTCAAAATAGCAATAGTACTTCTCATATTATGTGTAATGTGATTGTTTGCTTCTACAGCAAAATTTTTTTTCAAAAAAGAAAAAGATGCCGACATGGTAATGTTTAAATTTTAAGCAAAGGCACAAACATTCTTCAGAAAAGCAGATGAAATAGGGTAAGAGTCAGCATGTTGAACAGAAAAAGACCAAGATCAGAACCGCACTCAATGTGCAAACAGATTTGAGAAAATGTGGCAATGCTGTTTTGGGAAGTTTAACAATATAGTTTAAAATTCGAGGCACAACGGCACTATTAACAAACAGAAAGTAGAAAAACAATTTGTACTAAGAGAAAAAGGCTTGAAGAGAGACTGCTTGTTGTGGCTTAGTCCGTGGTTTCCTTGTGTAATGGAGCTAATGCCTAGGTTCACGGGAAGACTTGGTAGTCGGACATCCCGTCACTGCATGACACGCTCAGCACACTCTCCAGGACCTGACATCACTGAAGGCCATCGAGGGGCTCGTGTCTGCTCAATGTAAGTTCAGACACGGTGCCCTCCAACATCAGTAAGATGCAGTATATTATAAAGTTCTACTTTTCATTCTTAAAATACCTATACAGATGATCTTATAGTAGCTGAGAAAATATAAACTTATCCAAAGTTTATATATATAAATACTCATTTTATATATAAAATGACTTTAAATACTCATTTCCATTACATGAGGCAATAATCTTTTTATTCTTTGATTGTTTTCTCTTACTTAACTTTCTTCTTTAGTTGTACTCACTTCTATATATAGTCCCTACCTTAATATTTTACCTTTTCCATCACTTTTCTCTTCCTGATCACTATTTCTTCTGTCTTTGATCTTTTCTTAATTGGCTGCATTCAACTTTTAATTAGTCAACATCCTTTGGATCGAGAGGTCCTCGTGTTATTTCTATTAGCAGGAGGAGCCTCCACCCACCAACGTCCTGAGAAATCACAGCACGGTAGAGCTGGAAGAGATCTCACAGTATCATTTGGCTGAGCTCTATGCCAGCAGCAACAGGTGGCTGACTATTCTTAATGCTTTTCTTTCTTTTTTATTTTTTTAATGACCAAAGACTTGTATCATAAATATTCTACCATAGCTTGGTTTAATACAAAACCTTAACAAGTGAAAACATGTGGAGTAGAAAGAAAACTGGGTGAAAACAGTTCTGACCTAAGCACTATTACTTACTAGAAAATGAAATTTTTCCTTTGATCGCTTTGGGGAAAAAAAAAATCCTTTCATCACTCTGAGCTTCAAGTTCCCTGTGCAAATAGAAATAATGCTGTCTGACTCACAAAGTTTTGTAAGTGCTCTGAAACCTGGAAGAGAACTATATAAATACTAGAGGCCCGATGCACGAAATTTGTGCAAGAATAGGCCTTTGCAGCCGCTGCGGCTGCCTAGATCCCTCCCTGGCTGCCTAGATCCCTCACAGCCCCAGTGGCTGCCTGGATCCCTCCCTCACAGCCCTGGTGGCTGCCTGGATCCCTCGCAGCGGAGCAGCTTCCTCAATCCTGAGGCTGCTTTGTCTGGAAGGTCATCCAGAAGGACGTCCGATCTAATTGGCATATTACGCTTTTATTATTATAGATAAAGTACTATCACAATGGGAAGCAACAGAGGGTAAAGACCTGCACTCTGTAGGCATGTTCGTTTCAAATCCCACCAGTTTAGCAGCCATGCAACACGGAGTGAAATACTGGACCTCCCTGAGTTCATCTCCGAGGACAATTGCAAAACTGGTATGTCTACCTCACGTGATTGTTTATGGGAGTTTAACGTACCTACACAGGTCCTGGCATGATGTGGGTTCTCAATAAATGTTAATTCCTTACTCCCCAACAGGATTCCACACTTCTGCTGTGTGGTTCTACTCTCCTTCCATGAACTATTTCAAAGTACATATGTGAAACTTTATGAAAAACAAAGTAATCAGAAATTATGTAAGCCTTTCTTTCCCCTAAGATTCATACAGCAACAAGAGTTCCTCATCAGCCCTGAAAAACGGGAGAAAATAAGGTAGAGTTTCCTTTAAAAAATAAACTCTCCCAAAGAAGGAAGGGATTAGAATAGATGATGGCCAAAACCAGTTTGGCTCAGTGGATAGAGCGTCAGCCTGCGGACTGAAAGGTCCCAGGTTCA